TTTTTTTTTTTTTTTTTTCCTGCTGAGCAACTGTGGGTCTACTTTAATGTCTGAGCAACCAACAACCAAGAAATTTCTGGTACAGAGGGACCCACGTGAGGGCAGGAATGAGGAAAACTGTCCTTACAGTATTCCACGTGGCTTTCTAACCCATAGCTGTTTTTCTCTCCTCAGATGTGGCCATTGGTGCACCCAAGGAGGATGACTTCTCGGGGGCCGTCTATATCTATCACGGCGACGCTAGTGGGATTGTCCCTCAGTACTCAATGGTAATTGCTGTGAGAATAACATGCTAACTGTTCATACCTTCATCTGACAAACACATAGGGAACCTGTAGTCCATACCACACCCCGGGGTACAGAGGAAAACACAACACGGTTCCTACCTTCAACCTTCTCACCCTCCAGTGAAAGAGAGGAACAATTGGTATTGCTTATTAAAACTTAAAAACCTATTCAGAGACTCCCGAGTTTGCTCACATTCGGGGATGCATTCTGCCTGTGTGAAAGATTACATCCAAATTCTTACCCCCAGTTAGAGTTATTTATTGAAGATGAGGAAGAGGCTTGCTGTTTTTTCGTGACTCCTTTATCAACCGTCGGTGCAAGCCAAAGGAATATGCTGTAAAATATAAACTTTTTAAAAGTTTATTTATTTTTGAGAGAGACAGAGACAGCATGATCGGGGTAGGGGCAGAGAGAGAGAGACAGAGAGAGAATCCCAAGCAGGCTCCGCACCATCAGCTCAGAGCCTGACTTGGAGCTCAAACTCACAAAATCGCGAGATCATGACCTGAACCGAATGAAACCAAGAGTCGGACACTTATCCGACTGAGCCACCCAGGCATCCACAAAATAGAAATTTTTTTAATGTTTATTTATTTCAGAGAGAGAGAGAGAGAGAGAGAGACAGAGGGTGAGTGGGGGAGGGGCAGAGAGAGGGAGACACAGAATCTGAAGCAGCCTCCAGGCTCCGAGCTGTCAGCAGAGCCTGACGCGGGGCTCGAACCCATGAACCGTGAGATCATGACCTGAGCCGAAGTTGGACACTTAACCGACTGAGCCACCTAGGCACCGTGAATTGTAAAATATAATGTAGAGAGACAGTGGTCCACAGAAGAGGGGGCTTGAAAGCTTTCACGGGGCTGATGGTTGTAACGGCACTGAAATGAGCTGGTCAAAGCTCTGGCCTTGGGCGCCAGACTTGGGAATGTGGAAGTGGTTTGAGTTCTGGTTTTTTGCCATATCAGCTGGGTGTTCAATCTTGCTGATGGTGTTAAGCCCAGCCCATGGGAAAAAAGGAAGTCACTCTTTGGACAGAAGCATCGTCAGGGTATTTGTGGATGTCTGTGTCTAGAGTTGGCACAGGCCTGTGTTATTCTCCCAGGGAGTGGGTCAGTGACAGAAAGGGACTGAGCACAAGTCGAGAAATTTCCCATCAGCAAATATTGATCTGTTGAGCGCTTTTTATGTGCTCACCGCTTCCTACTCCTGCTTCTATTTCCCATCATGAAGAAGCTTGCCTCGTATCTTGATTATTGCTAAGGAAACAGAACTTTTAACGGAGTCACGTTCTCATAAAATGTTCTACAAGTGAGGTGTTAGTAAAGCGTCAAAGCCTGTTCATGCACTGAAGTACATGAAGGTAAGAAAGAGACTTTACAAGTTGATTTTAAGAGGCAGTGCCCAAGTGTAAGTTCAGTCCATGCACTCATAATTGCTCTTCTTGGAGGAGATACAAGTGAGCTGATTAAGGGTTGAGGGTTGATTCATCGCCAGCTTCCAGCACCCTCTCTGCTGGGGCCGGCCCAGCTCGGTGGCTCCCATAGCAGCAGACACGGAGCGCAGAGAGGAGGGACCACTCTGCCCTATTCTTTTCTTTAGTCCTTGTCGTAGTCCCATGAGATGGTATCTTTATTTTCCACCTTTTCTTTATGAGGGGTCCAGCCCAGGGAGGTGACTTTGCTTGTCCAGGGTCTCCGGCTAGTAAATGGCAGTGTGGCCACTGAAACTTTGCCAGTCTGACTCCCAAACCTTTTATTGTAACCACACCCTCAACTCCACATTGGAGGAAGGAACACTCAGGGAAGCTCACTTGGAAAACTTAGAAGTAAGGAAACTTATTTTGCTTGTGAGGCATGCATACTCCAAGGGGCATGGGTTTACCCGGACCACCGTCTTTTCACTAGAAATGATGGCAATCAATGGTGGCAATAAGCTCACAGGTGACTCAGCCAATGTGGCAGGAGGAAGAGAGCTTTGGGCACGGGCTGGCGGCCACGTCTGTGTGGTGCGGGCTGCTGTAGTCTGAGGTAGGGACCCTCTTCCCGATGTGACGAGCAGAAAGTCATCCAGGGAACCGTGTCCTCGGGCAGTTGCCGGGGTCACTTTCCACGCATCCTCCTGGAAGCTTGTTCCTGGACCTTGGAAGCAAATCATAGGGAGAGGCAACCTGTCAGAGACCCCTGCTTCCCTCCTCCAGTGTTTTGTTTTGTTGCTGGGTGGAATCCCTACAGAGAACTGAAGTACAGACTTTGTGGTTAGCGTGGAGTGCCTTCAGTCGGAAGCAGGGATCAGCAAGCAGCTGGACCCATCCTGCCTTTGTCAGCAGGCTGGCAGGCTCGTTAGCTTTGACAAAGAGAAGTGGTTTGGGGCACTTTAAAAAAAAAAAAAAAGGAAAGATACAACTCTGCTTATGCTTTTGTAAGCCGCTAATATGTATATGATAAGGTCACTGATTTAAAAGGAAAAAAAAATCCTTTAATGACAGATTCTTCAGGGCTGGGGTCCAGACAGAGCAGGCATTGTGCTGGTGAACCAGAGGAAGAAATCAGAAACAGCTCTGGGCAAAGGAGTTGCTTTTCTTTGGCCCAGACTGGTATTATTTCTGCCGGGTAAATTGTGAGATCAGGGCTGCAGTTTGTCCGCGTTACTCTTTAACTCATTCCTCTTTCTTGAGTTCACCATGAAAAGTGTTGATTTTAAGATCCTTGTGTGCCTTTCGCCATTTGAGAGTCCCCTGGGCATGTCATGGCGGCCCGTGTGATCTTTCTCCTGCTAGTAAGGACACTGCACGTAAACCTGGTCAAGCGGAGGTTTTCCAAGGCTCCTGGTTTTCATTTAGGGTTATTAGCACTGAGCAGACTTATCTTCCTGGCTTTATGGCATAATGGCCTGCAGATGTCTGTGGGATAACTTAAGCCTGCATCGCCACCCCCAGATGGACCACCCCTTCACTCTTCCCCCTCGTCCCAGCCACAACATAGCTTAGAAGGGGAGACCCGGGACCAGCCGCTGCTAGCCTGCCTGGGCTGCGGAGCTGAGACGGTGGCCTTCAAAAAGTGGCTTGGGAGAAAGAGACACACATACATGTTTGTTTAGACAGAGTCATGTGGGATGAGGAACTCTGCCTGTTAGCAAGAAACATTTCTTCAGTGTGTGCTATGCTGTTGTGATTCGTACGTTGATGCTCATGTATTTTCTGTTGGATGGCTTAACTGAAGATGGCAAGTGGAGGGTTATTTGCAGCGATGGGCTCCCGGGAGGGGTCGGGGAAGGTCCCTGGCGTCTCCGTCTGTGGATCCTATGGAAACTCCCTCTCCCCACTCTCATGACTTCTCCGCAGGATGACTCAATAAGGAAAAAGGATATGGAAAGAGAGTCCTTAGAGAGCCCCTGGATATCTGTAAACCTGGTTCTGATAGGGATTTTGCTGCATGGCATGAAAACAAAGCATTTTTCTTATCATCCACAATGAGGGCCCTGGGAGGTTAGCCTCCCAAAAGAGACCGTACAAACAAAGGGAAGAAGGAACACACCAGATCCCAGGGGATGGGACTTTTCTGATTCAGGAAGTGTGATATCTTTTGAGGAACTGTGCCACCCAAACAAATGAAGGGGTTTGGTTGTGTCGTAAAGGGTCCTGAACCAGTGCAGTCCTGTGTGAACATAAGTTGAACATAAGTTGAGTTAACTTAAGTTTACTCATCATTAAGCTGAGTAACAGTACAGTTGCCCCTTGGCGGTAGAGCTGTGAACTCCACAGGGCCGCCTTTTAGGGAGGAGGGTGGCTTCCTCTGCTGTTTTGGATTTCCCACCATTTGTGGTAGGAAGGTTCAGGGCCATGGAGCTCCAGATTTACTAGCTAGAACTGTTTCATCCTGTCTGTGAGGCTCAGGAGCCCGTAGATCTTCTGGTTAACTTGACTGAGTGGCGGTTTCCCCGTGGCCATCTTTTCCAGCTAGATGCACCAGTGGCCTGTCCACTTAGGGAAAGACTAACATGAGCAGAGGGGTGTTCCATGTTTGGTACATATTTGGGTAGAGAGATCTAAGGAAAACATGTTCTTAGAACTCCAGCCAGCTTGGGGCGCCTGGCTGGCTCATTTGGTTAAGCATCCGGCTTTGGCTCAGGTCACGATCTCATGGTTTGTGAGTCTGAGCCCCACGTCGGGCTCTGTGCTGACAGCTTGGAGCCTGGGGCCTGCTTCCGTCTCTGTGTCTCCCTCTCTCTCTGTCCCTCCCCCGCTTGTGCTCTGCCTCTCTCTCAAAAATAAATAAATATTTAAAGAAAAAAAAAAAACTTCAGCCAGCTCTACCTGTGTGGAAACAAAACAGAACCTCTGTTGGAAATGGAAGTAAACATCCGTTTCGAACTTCATTTGGCAGGTGAAAACATTACACACCAGTCTAGGTGGAGTGTTCATTAACACTGAGCTTGGAAACATTTTTAAACAATGACATGTGACGAAGGCAAGTAATAATACAAGAGTGTGTGGTCTTCAACTGCATGCTAAGAACTCCGTGATCAAATTAGGACTACGGTTTTCTGTTTCCACAGTTTGAGGACCAAGTGTCCTACAGAAGCTGCACAGAACAGTCCTGGGTTCTTATTTATGACTGTGCTCCTGTCCAGCGACTCAATTTCCCTATTATCTGTTTCAGAAACTGTCGGGGCAGAAGATAAGTCCGGTTCTGGGGATGTTTGGTCAGTCCATATCAGGAGGCATTGATATGGATGGAAATGGCTATCCTGGTAAGCTGTTTTTCTTTAAAGGCAAATGAGATAAACGAGCATAAATGCTTGAGGTAGAGTCATTTCCAGTCTGGTAAGCAGTGGCCACATCTATTTAGAATCAGGAGAATTCCCACAGTAGAATGGGATGCTTTGCCTAGTATTTGATTTGAAGGTGTTGACGTTTATTTTGGGGTTTTAGAATGATCTGTGCTGAAGAGTTTAAGCACCACAAGGGTGGATTGCAACAGTGATTTTGAAGGAAACAACGAAAGAAAAACGAAAACAAAAAACAGTGATTTCTGTGGCAGCAGCTCTTTCTAAAAGCACTGTCCACTTTGAAATTGTTAGCAAAAACTCATGTTTTGCTCAATAATTACCCGTACTAAGAGGCTTCTTACTCTTGAGAGGGAAAAAGGAGCTGAGCAATCCCTTCCCCACCTCCCAGCCCCTGCAAGAAAATTAAAAAAATTTGGAGCAGAAAAGAAAACCATGCCCTCTCCCTGATGGACAGAACAGACCTTCACCCTTCAAGGCTGCCTGCCTTGGCTTCAGGGTTAATGAATGCCTTGTGGTGGTTGAGGCTAATTGAATAAAAATGCACGATTTCCAACCTCAATCCCAAGTGTTGTCCAGTTAGGTAAAATTGACTGGGCAGTGGGATGATGGTTCTTCTGGTGTTTGAAGGGGATGCAGTGTGGTTAGGTGAGGAAATGAGATAAGAATTAGAAAAAATCCAGGGGGCACCTGGGTGGCTCAGTTGGTTAAGCGTCTGACTCACTGTTGAGCTCAGCCCAGGTCATGATCCTCAGGATCGTGAAGTTGAGCCCTGTGTTGGGCTCTGTATTGGTCTCCATGCTAGCATGAAGCCTACTGAAAGAGAAAGAAAGAAAGAAAGAAAGAAAGAAAGAAAGAAAGAAAGAAA